CATCTGGATTTCCCATAAGAACAAAAAAGGGCAAATTATTTACCCTATAATTTTGGCCATGGGTTCTTAATTGCAGCCCCTGGCAAGTCTCCTTCTGGCCACATATAGTTCAGGGCAAGTAGCTGATTTGGGGATCTGAGCAGGAGAAAACCATGACACTTCTCAAATCAGAGATGCAGCCAGAGATTACCTGAGAGAGGCTTGCAAGATACTGAGATTAAGTATCCCCTTGGGATACTGGTATTTTCAAACTAGGGACAGTAGGCAGAGCACCACTTTTCAGCAATCAGATAAAGCATTTGTGTAGTCAGTCAGTTGTAATGGTAATATGATGCACTGCTCTACCAAAAATATCAGTCAGAACTCAGCTGTCCTCAGTCTTTTCATTTCAAGACTTCGTTTGCACTGGGAATTTGGACACAGTGTTATTTTCACACTATGAGGTTCTTACAGTAAGCATTCCCAAACTGATGTACTTTTAAATTTAAATTTAATTTTAGGAGATGTGATAGGAAGAGGTAGAATATTTACAGCACAATTCAATTTATGTAAAGGCTGCTTGCAAAAGGGTTCATCTCACAAAGTTCACCAGATGTTATTTATGACTGAAGTTTAACTCAGTGCTGTGCCTGTATTATAAAATAACCTTTTAAAGAATGGAAATTAATATTTTACTGTGTGAGATATAAGAACAGCCATATCATGAACACGCCTGATGGAACAGTCTCTGCTAATAGCTTGTTTCTGTATGATGTGTGAATTTTGGAGTATTTATTTCACCTCTGTCTTAATTACCACATCATCCCGTCTAATGCAACACCTTCACAGTCTTCAAATTATTAAATCAAATATGCTTTGTTGGTTTCAGCTTGAGATTAATAACTGCCTCAATTAGCCCAATTAGCAAAAGAGGGACTCTGAGGAATTTATTGCTGATTCAGCATGTGCCTTATTGGAGGGTCATCCAATGCAATTCATTGCTAACTTGGTCAGTAAAATGCACATAGAATATCTTTGCTAAATGCATCAGTAACAAAGTGATCTTTGTCTCTGAATATTATGGGTCTTAGCTTTTAAATACCAGTTTAAAAAAATTTAAAAAACCAACCAAGATCAGGCTTCATCCAAGCTACTGAAACTCTACCTTTACACAGTACATAAGTTGAATTGTGCTGTAAATATACTATCTCTTCCTATCACACCTTGTAAAAATTAAATTTAAATGAAAAATTGCATAAGTTTGGGAATGCTTACTGTAAGAATTTCATAGTGTGAAAATAGCACTGTGTGACTACATTTGAAGGGTAATTGTCAGGGTATTTATAATGTCCCAGAAGCATACAGTCAGTAGCAAGGAACAACACAGCACACAGAAATCTGTAAATGATTCAGCAATAGAGGAAAATGACCTTCTACAAAGTGTGTTTGCAGAATCTTGTGTTGCATCTTTTGAGAAAGAAAGAGGTTTTTGCTCCAGTTTTGCATTTACATCACACCTGAATGAGACCTGAGGACTTCCTCACCCCATCTCTTGGAAGACTACTAAAATTGAACAATCATCCTTTGTATTATTAATATGTTACTGTTGCTTTTGTTGTTGCTGCTGCTCTTGTTATACCTGTTTTTAGCGCTAGATATTGATAAGAGAAATTAGTGTTGCTGCTGGCTTCAAAATTGTGTCTGTTTCCAGGAAAAAAAAAAAGCTTAAAAGGTGGTATTACAAAATGTTACTGCTTTTTCACACTTCTGTATCATATGCTGGCAGGAAGGAAGAGCTGATATGATGAGGTTTACTTTTTCACAGACAGGTAGACCTGCAGATTTCATTGTACTCTAGGAATAAAATTGGATGGTTCCTAGCAAAAGCAACAGTTCTTGTGACCAAATATACAGCATCCCTGAATCCAGGCTGAGCCATTGCAGCCTGGATGAGTGGACTACCAGGTCTGTAGAAAAAAAGTAAGCAGTCAAAATCCACACAATGGCTGTTGATTTGAATAAGTTGATAGTGAAGATATTCCTGTCCTGGTGTACAGCAATATTTGAAAAAACATTCAGTGGACTAAGATCCATCATTCCTTTCTCATAAAAAGGAAATGAAACATGTTCATGCTCTTTTGGCGTGTGTTCATTTTTGCAATGCAAAAATAGGTGTCCATGTATCACTAAAGTAAGCAAATGTCAATCTGATTGTGTCCAGGAAGGATAAAATGGGAATAAAATGCTTGTTTTGCTGCTTTGCCATTTATCTATGCAAGATGGAAAGCCAAGTATAATCTCCCTGCTTGAAAGCCCACAATTCCATTCTAGATCCCAAAGAAATCTATTTATTGTTGGTTTGTTCAACCAAGTTTCCCCTCTGGGATTACCCTTTGTGATTGGGAAAGAAAGAATTAAATTTCTTCATTTGGAAAATCTTTCCGCTTGACTAGCAACAAGCCTCCTGGGTCACTAAGTAATAGTGTTCTGCCCTAATTGTCTTCAACTTATTTATGTTTCTAAGTCAGGCCTTTGTTAGTCAGTTTTTCCAATTTATGCAAAGTTTATATCCTGCTGCCTTGTAAAGCAGAATAATTTATAAAATGTTTCTATGTAGAAATTGCTTTCAATTATTTTACTTCATATAGAAACCTTAAGGTTTTTCTTTAAAAAGGATGAATTGACACCAAGAAACACTGGGGGTTTTTTTTCCCCTAATCTTATCTGTCTCCCCTCCACACAAATGTATTTGTTCTCTTTTTACATTGACTAAGAATATAGTCAAGTGTCAATTTGAGAAAATATCATATCAAGCTCCCAACTCTGCCTACACCCTAGACAAAAATAAATGTGTAACTAGAATGTGATGTATAATACATGCAGTCCAGACAGCAGAAACATATCTAGGTTTCTCCAAATCTGTGAGAAGTAGAAGAAGGAAACCCAAGTAACTCTGTGACTGAGAACATGATGCTCATTTAGGCAAAAGCATGTTGGGTGGTATTATTATCTCCTGGTATTCTGAATGGTGCAATTTCTGTTGGGAGAATCCTCAGTGCACAGGTCCTGCTTCAGAGGGGTCCTTCAGCACCACACAATGAGCCTGGCACTGCCTCTTAAACAATTTTACTTTTAAATAGTAATTTGTCCAGGAAGAAGAGAGCAAGATTTTTTTACTCACATATAATTTCAACTTTTTATTTATTTTATCCTGTTTTAAGTTCACTGCCTTTATGTTGTAGTAGGCTTTTTTCCAGATACTTCCTAGCTCTGGATTTGTTTTGAACTGCCCTCCTGAATGACACCAAGTGTACTGTTCTCCCACTCTTATCTTCACACTTTCTTATATGATGTTCCTTATTCTTATATGCTTAGACATCCTTATTCTCCATGCCAAATATCCTCCTACTCTATATTCACATTCTTCCTTTAAACTGCATTTCCTTAAAGTCTACATAAAATAATCTGCAAGTTAAGAAATATAGCAACTCTGCCTTGAGATCTGACAGTCTTCTGATCGTCAGATTTGGTACTGTTGGATGAATTCTTTCATTTATGCACAATACTGAATAAATCAGGGATTCATTTTTCCTTACTATCACATGTATTGTCTTTTTTACTATATATATTTTTCTAAAATTTTATTTTAAAGTACCTCAAAGTTCATTCCAACTGGTTTCCTAGAGGCCACCTGGCTGGGCAGTGCTTTTTGTTGTCTTCTTGCTCTTCCAGCTGAAAGCCCACTGACAAAAAAAAAAAAAAAGAAAAGAAAAAAAAGATCTCAGTAAAACATCCTTCTCATAAGAGAGCTGAGTCCAGTATCTTAGTTACAGACTTAACCAGATAAAATCACCATTTTGGAGTTCTGTGTCAAGGATATTTGTTCAAAGAAAAGCCCCAGAATGAATAAAAAGTACAAGTGAACCAAAACATAGGGGTTTTTTTTCTGAACTTGTATGCAGTTCTTAAAACTGTTCATTTTAGAGAGGTTGTGCTGCTTATAACCTCATTTTCTTATGTTCTTTTTAGTGCTAGGTGCCTGAAAATAAAAAAAAAAAAAAAAAAATCCCAACCAGAGTAATTTATAAAAATTTGATTCATACAACATTAACTACTACTTGCCCCTAAAAAAAAAAAAAAAAAAAAAAAAAAACACACCAAAAAACCAAAAATAATGGAATTGGGAAATTTTCAGGCTGTCTAAAATAGGCTTACCTTAAAAGAAATATCTGAAATATCCTTTTTTTTTTTAAATCTGCATCTAGTAATGTAAAAAGCTAGTGAAATACTGCTCCTCAGTGTTTCTAAAATATGTACATTCTTCATTTGTTTGCTGTTTGTCTGCAACATAAAATTCAGCCTAGAATTCTTGCAAGACAAAAAAAGTCATTGTAAGCCACTCCTTCAGATGCTTTGCTGCAAGAGAAGTAAATCTAAACACTGACTGCTAACAAAACAGAAACTGTAAAAACATTACTAAAACAAATGAAGCTGACATTTTACAGAAAGAAAAGTGCTATTTTTGAACACAATTATGATCTTTTAGTAAGTCTTAAATTTCCATTTAGCTATGTTAAAATGATTGTCTCTGAGTTAAATAGGTCCAATAGCTTTTTCTCTTAATGTATCAAGGAAGAGCTAAAGCTGGGACCAGAATGGATCCTTTGGGAGTTAAGTACAGAACTCCCAGAATAAATTTTCCACTAACCTCTTTTGGAATTAGCTTTCTTATTTCCTTAAACTCTATGTAAATTTTTGATACACAATCAAACCAAGTGCCTTGTTGTAGGGGTTGGTCTTGTTGATAAGGGAGCAGCATCACCTGTCACCCCCAAAACTTTTGGTTTTGTGTCAACAGTGTCATAGATACTCTGGACATGCATCAAAACATTTTACTTTCTGCCTGACCTAACTTTTCCTTTCTCTCATTCAAGCATATTATTGAAAACCATCCGGTTTTATGTGTTCCTGGGCTATGAGGAAAACAGGAAGCAGAAAAGGAGATTCTTTCCTGTCCTGCTTCTCTGTAAATTTAGTCCTACATGTGTAGCTTGTAGTTCCAAAGAAGTTTGTAACCACTGAGTTTGAGGGAAGGTTTTTAGAAATTATATTTTCCTTCAGCTTTCTCTAGATTCTTCCTTTAAAATATTTTTGTGACAGAATTATTCACATTTATCCCTTGTCTCTGAGGTTGCAACCTGGAATTGTTCTGATTGTTAAGAAGCATAATTTAAGTCACTCAGTAATGAATCTCAGAATGAAAACAGATTTTTTGAATTCACACAATGGTTGTATGTACGCTGCATGCCCCAGTGGAGTTGTTCTGTATCCTAAAAACAGAAATACCACTTTGTCTTCCAGGTTTTACCTTGAGCAGTTGCATAGATGTTAGTGTGGGTGGAACTCAGATCATTAAGGTTATCACAGAGGTGCCTTATTTTTGTCCTGGGGTTATGACTCTGGTTTGGTAAATTGGCTGAAGCAGGATCTTACTCTCTTGCAAACTTGAGTATTTAACATGAAAAACCACTCTTTTTTCATAAGAATGAGACGCAATAGGAAACTACTAGTCAATATTTTTCCTGTGTTGCAGACAATAAAGAAAATGTCTTCCAGTTTCCATGTAGGACCTTTTTTCACAAAGGGCAAGAATGTACATGAGTCATTTTCAGTTGTGGATTCTTTTTCCTTTTCCCAGTGAATTTTCCTATTATACTAAGATTATACAAAGATCTTGGAGTCTTAATGCAAAATTTCTATTAAGATATTCTGGATCTGTTTTTTGGGGGTTTATTTGTTTTGTTTTGTTGTGGTTTTGGGTTTTTAAAATTTTAGGGGATAGTTACGTATGCCAACAAACTGTGTATCTTATGCTATAATCATGCTTTGTCTTAGAAAACACTTTTGTGGTACAAACAGAAAACCACCCTGTTTTGCTCAGACTTTGTTTGAAGGAAGTTTACTGCTTCTTAAGTACTCCAAAGCTGCAAAACCGAATTCAAAATGTTATGCAAATTCCATATATTTTTATAGCTATACAAAAAGGAGTGCAAAAAGGTACCTTTTTAATTTGGTAACATTTTACAACCACTTTACAGGGCAACACAGAAAAAGTTACAAAAAGCCACTCAGAATTGTGCAGTTCAGCTGCTGCATCCATGAGAAAGCAACTCCTGTTTTGACAAATGAGACTTGACCACAGTCAGCATGCGGTCAAGAAATAGTAATAAAACACTTCCTTAACTGGTTATTTCTGCAATTTTTTGTGTCCCCTTGCTGAGATGTGACAGAGCATTTGGGGTCAGGTGCCCAGCTATCAGTGGAGATGGAGTGAAGCATCTTTCTTTGAGCCTTTGCTGCCACGGGCTCAGCCATGACTCAGCCAGGGGAAGTTAAGTGATTATACTTAACTTTCTCTACTATGGTAAAATAAGTTGCAGCGAGAACACACTGAAAGCCAAGGACCTCTAAATACTTTTCCCTTTTATGGAATAGAGCTCCCAGATCTCCATTTCCTGGAGATTGTACTCTAAGCCTACACAGTGGTAAAAGAAAGTTCTCTGCATTCACTGATCTGTATCTGACTACAAATTTGAGCTCAGGGTCTAATTTTTTTCTTAACTATTTTAAGCAGTAAGTTTATAATAAGAGACCAAAATGTTGAAAAGCACTCCATTCTCTCTTTTATTTATTTTTTTTTTCTTTAGATTGTCTCCTCTTAGTGTGGGAATGAGCAGAATTTGGTGAACTGGATAAGTCATTTGTTTGTGTTTAACTCATTTTGTAGGTGCATAAGGCTTGTGCATACAGAGATTGTAGATCTTCACCCACATCCACTCTGCCTGTGACATGTGAGTTAATCTCTACAAGTATTTAGTTTTAAAATATAATTTTGAATTTTGTCATTTGTGAAAGAATGGAGTTTTGGGGGAGATCATTTACTTTGATAAAACAGTACAGTAATGTAAATTATAGTCTTTGATAAGGTAGAGGTAAGCCAGACAGGGCTTGATCAATGGAAAGAAAAAAGAAATAAAAATAGAAATAACAGGATCTTGAAATGATCTCAGTGCCTAGGATGCTAATATGTGCTCATGCACCGTGACTGTTTCTAAAGTGCAGGTGTATTTTTAAGCTCTTTTCAGGGCAAGTAATTACAGGTGTTTCAGTTTGTACCTCACTGTATTGCATGTATTGTTAACATATCATTTCCTTCTTTGGCTGAAATGTGTTTGTTCTTGTGGAAAGGAGACAAAGTTGGCAAAGCTAATGAGAGCATCTTTCCAAAGGCTGTGCAGCTGGCAGGTGAGCCAGGCTTAGAAGCAGGCTAGTCAAGCTCTTCACACTCTAGCTCAGTGTTCAGTAAAGCTGTCAGCTGGTTTTGTAAACAGAGATGTGAATTTCTGTAAGCTCCAAGGCTGCGCTCTGCCCTAATGCTCTGCTGAAAAGGAAAAAATGTACCTTCCAGTGACATAAATTTTCCAAGGACTTTTCTTTATCTTCTATCTACATATTTGAGATGCAGATAAACTCCTAATTCTTGTAGAATGTTCTTACAAAGCCTCCCATTTCTATCCATTTTGACTCCATGTGACATTTACTGTGGTTGTTTTCATTGCCCAGCTAAAGGGGCATAAGGTCACTTCAGCAGTGATGGAAGAATATTTATTCACTAATATTTAAGTTTCCATCTTTTCTAAACCTTTGCCTTCCCTACCAGTATCAGAAGGCAGTAATTGATCACAAAAGGGCAGAACTCCTTGCAGAGCATGGTATATCCACTTGAATTTACAATGTATGATGTCTGTGCTGGGTAAGCATCATAGTCTTTAAAAAATCTGGGCTACTGACTTTGAGAACACTGCAAGGGTTAAAACTAAGCTTTTAGACTGAAAGTTAATTATTTTGGAGTTCCAAATAATGTAGCTTATTAATTGAACTACATCCTTATGCTGAAATACTAAAATGCAGTGCCACTCACTTTGGCAGTGTAGTGAACTGCAGCAATGCAGTTAAGGTGTGCAAAGATGGTGTTTGATTCAAGAAGCCAAAGACTATGAATAATTATGTGTAAGCTTTCACTGCTCTAATATAGTCCTCAGCGCTGGGGTTTTCTGGAGTGGTACTGGGAAAAAATGGAAAGTCAAAAGAAGAAATTTTCCTACTGATCAGCACAGAGATTTGAAGCTTATTTCTATTTGCAAGATAGCTCTGTAAGGAAAACAGAGTAGGGTTCTAATTGTGTTGGAGACAGCCTGAACTCTGTCCACTCCAAATCTGGGGGTTGTTAAGGTGGCATAAATTCATCTTTCTGCCCTCTGTTTTCCCTTGGCTGTACTTTCTGTGCTGCATCTCTAGGACAACACAGCTAAGGATTTGTCTCTTTCTATTCTTAGACAAACTTACTGATTTATTTCTTTTTCTTTTAAAGATTTTTTTGATTTCTAAATCTGAAAAATGAACTGAAACTTGATGTGCTTAATTGCTCTTTCTTGTTTCAAGATAAGTTGCGTTACTTTAAGTTTAGTATGTACTAAGAACTCATCTAAGACTAGGAATAAACCCCTTTGGTGCAATAGCTTCTACAATTCCATGTAGTACTGCAAACACGCTTTGGCCATGACTTGAAACATTCCTGATTTTTCAGGCCCAGCATTGGATTGAATGTATCAGAACCATAATAAATTCATTAGGCAAACACTGAGGGATTAGATAAATAGCCAAATTTTATTTTTTCTTTTTTTTTTTTTTTTAATTTGAGTTCTTGCAAACTCAGAAATTGTGTAGGATGTCAGGATTTTCTTATAGAGATGAAAAGCAAGCCTGTGTCATATTTTTTAGTTACCTTCTTTCCATCTCAGCTTCATGTTGCTAATAGTTAGTGACTGGGTTTGATACAAAAAAAACTTAATTGTTGAAACACACAGATGTTCAGTATCTGTCTAATCTGTGGATTTATTCAAATATACATAATTATAAATATGTTTTTTCCATCCTATTAGGGACTTTAATTGTTTTGCCTTAATAGCCATTTTTAAAGATTTTATTCATAGAAAGTTTCCTCTATTCTTATTTGAAGTCAGAGGTGGGTAAAATCATGATACAAACATCAACTACTGCTTCCTTTTGTAGAATTAGAAAACCACCTGTAACAGGTACAAAAATGTCTAGAAAATCTTGAAACATACTGTCCCTACAGCATGCATTCTTCTGAAAAACCTTTATGCCCACTGTTCAAAAAGAGTCTGTATCTTGGTCTTCATAATGATGTCACATATGCTGCATCTTTTTCAGTGTTGTTATTGAGGAACTGGAATTATAGAATTACTTTTTGCTGAACACAGCAATACTTGTGTAGGATCATTTTTACAATCTATTTGTTTTGCATTAAAGTTCATGTGAGATGGCCTTGTATTCCTCTTCATTAAGTTTCCAACATAATGTGAAATAAACCTAATAAAAGCATGGGTCTTAGCTGCTTCTGTAGTCCAAAGTTTTCACACATTCTGTAGGTTTTACAACACAGATTTTCTTCTGTGAGAGTTGAGGTGAGGCACTTGTCACTACTGAGACTGCTTTAGTGTTTCTTGTGAATGGTTTTGCCTCTTTTTGCTTTTATTTTAAAGCAACAGATGTATTTCGACAAATGCAATTGGCAACCTCAACAAACCAACATGTTCCTGCATACATTTCTTTGCCCACCCCTGAAATGGAAGGGAAAATTGTAGCAGGTTAATTTACAATGCAATAGTCAGCAGTTCCTGGAGGAGACACCAAGTGTGCACCAGGTGGCCTCAGCTGTGTGTGTGTGACCTGCAGGTACCGCCGGGGAGTGCAGTGATGTGTTCATGAGGACACTGATGTACTGATGAGAACAGCTCCCTGATTCCTGGGCAGGTGTCACAGTAAGTATTGCAACCCATCCACTGCCACTCTAAGGACTGATTTGTGCTTTGCACTGCTGATCCTCAGACTTTGGTGCAGGCTTTCATGCTGATGTTACCCTTGTGAATGCATTGCCTCCCCTTGATACTAACAATAAGAATTTTCTCAGCTAATAGGTAGTGATTTTTTTTCCTTCTTTGGGCATTTCTGCTGTTTTGCTTTGGAAGTGTCTTGCACTTTGTTGTCTTGTGCAGAGGTACACCAAGTCTTTTCACAATTCACCTTGCTGAAAGGAAAAGTGCCACCCTCTAGGGTTCCAGTTTTGGTCCTCTGAGATGTGAGATCATGCTCTGTAGCATTAAGGCTATTAGTTACTAAAAGGCATATTGTGGAAGAGATGACTGAGAAAGGGACCCTAGCAATGTCTGTCAGTATGTCTGCAGGGAGGTGTCAGAGGATGGATCCAGACTCTGCTTGGTGGTGCTGAGCAACAGGACAAGAGGCAAGGGAAAAGATCCAAAGGAAGTTCCATGTGAACATGAGGAAAAACTTCTGTGCAGATGATTGTGCACTGGAACAGATTGTCCAGATAGGCCATGGAGTCACCCTCACAGGAGATAGTCAAGAACTTTCTGGATGCAGTTTTGTTCCATGTGCTCTGGGATGACCCAGCTTGAGCAGGGAGGTTGGATCAGATGACCCTTGTGGTCCATTCCATCCCTGAACCATTCTGCTGTTCTGTGATACCCAGGATGTGATAACAGGATGCTGTTATCTTATCTTCTTAGAAGATATTTATAAAAGGCAAATTTGGTCACATCATAGTGACAAAATAAATATTGTAAAATGGAGGAAAGCGATGGAAATAGCAACAAGAGCAGAAGGTTGTCTGTTTTGAATGCATTTGCTAAATTATACTTGACCTTGAAAGCTTTAGTTAATAAAACACAAGATAGCATTTTTAATTTAAACCTTAATACTGTTTGTTATTGTAAAGTGATCTCAGTTTTTGAGCATAAAGTTTTAAATGGATTTGATTTGTATTTTTGGCATCTAACCCAGCCTGCAGATCACGAGGCCTCCCAGAGCTTATGCCTTCAGGCTAACTTGAAACAGATACTGCCAGCAGTGCATGGTCCTCTTAGTCAACATTGCAGCTCCACGTGCTTCACGCTGCCCACCATGCCAACCTTACCTGAAGACAAGGGACAAGCAAAAGAGGCCCAGCACAGCAGCTCTCCTCCAGCCAAAGTAAGCTCTCTTACTTACAAAGGTGTTTTCTGACACTAGCTGGAAACCTGAGGCTGAAACCTGTTTGTATATATTTAGGGGTTTATAAAATCAAATTTGTTTGTTGCTCTATCTTAGGGTGTTTTGCTTAATTGATGAAGATATGAATGACCCTTCAGCTGAAATCCTTAGAGTTCCTCAAATATTTTATAGCCTAAGGGATGAGAACTTAAATTGCTCAAGCAGTTGTTTATCATTCTGAAATGGAGGCTTATAAATGGTTCAGAACAGACAGACATATATCAAAGCTGTCCAAAAATGTCCTTTCTGATGTTATTAAAGAAAACTTTAAACTTTGAGAACAGAACTTAGGCTTGCACTTCAACAACTAGTGCTGTTTTTACAGACATGGAGGATGTTATGCAACTCGTGTGTGTGAAAGAAGGAAACGGGTTTTTTGGTTTGTATTCTTTCTCAGTGCTTTATTTGCCAAAGCAGTAGATGAACATACACTGGAACTATACAGAGGCAGGTGGGTGCTATCCAGGCATATTGATCAGTTGGCTTCAAATTTGTGTGGCATCTATATGCTTTTACATGTTTTATTTCCAGATAAATATAAAAATCAAGAACAGATGGGTGTTACTCATTTTCATTAATCTATTCCACAGATAAAAAGTAGCTTTATGCTTTAATAAACTGGGGTTGGATTTTTCTCAGTTGTTGGCCTAGCTGAAGTAAAGAACTTCACCGCAATTAAGAAATCACAGGTTATCCAAATCATTAATTTTTATGCAAACTGGTGTAAAGAAAGAGGATTTATAATCTGGCACATCCTCAATTAAAGATGTGACATTGTCATTGGGTTTGGGGACACTACATTCCAGACTTTAGGTGGTGAAAACATCCGCTACTTTAACATTGTTGGAAAATGTCAGCAGTGAGCTCTGCACTGATTTGTCCTGCCTTCCATCTAAACTGCACATGGTGCTGAGTGTTAATTTCCTGCCTTAAGATAAACACCCCAGCTGGATACAAGTTCATCAAGACTACCATCTGATAACATATATTAACTCAGGAAGATTGTATTGGGGTTTTTTAACTCACCTATGTGAAAAATGTTTTAGTACAAAAGACTTGCTGTACAAAACATACCCAAAGATGAAAAATGGAAAGATCTAGCAGACATCAGTGATTCTAATCCTGAATGTGCTTGTCAAGTGGGAGAAATGAAAATTTCCAACCTCCTAATACAAAAGCATTAAATTTTTAATACATTTTCCAGGCCTTTTAGATGTAGGTCTTAAATGAGCTGTGGCAATGTGATAGTTCATGAATCAGTTCACTGTGCAAAATGCTTCATTTTAGACAAATGATTATTTTTAGGCACAAAATCGCAGTGGAGTGATTTTAACCAACACACTGCTCATAAGCCTACTTAAGGTTTGCCACTGGTCAATGTTGTGAAAACTTGAACTTGTTCATAGCTGTTGTCACTCTTGGCTCTTGCTGCAGGTCACGTTCCAGAACATGACTGTAGATTACTCTAAGTAAAACATCTTATTATGAGATAAGGACTCGAAAGCAAGGAGAGGGCATCAGAAGGAGCTAAAAGCTGATGAATTTATTTTCTGCCACTCAATAAAATTTTCCAAGTCTCAAATTTCATCTCATCTAGAGTGCTGTTTGGTGTCTTAACAGCTTCCTTGCTCTGTTTCAGGAGATTCTTCCCCCCCCTTTCCCGGCATGTCTAAATGCACATAGATTGCAAAACAGTTCTGACAAAAAGAAAATTAACTTTACATTACATGTAGCTTTATGCATGCTTCAAGTGTGATCATGCTTTTACATGATGGGAAGACCAGGTTTCTATGTCTCAAATTTTGAGAAAACAAACATGGGTTTTCATTTCAGTATTTCTTAAAGCAACCTGTGTTTTTCTGAAGTTCAGTCCAGACATTTAGTTAATATCTAAGAATATGGCCAGGTGGCAGTGGGTTTTCTGTTTCCTGTTTTATTTTTTTTCCCCAGTGCTTTAAAGGATTCAGGTGTTACGCAGTAAAGCTCTGTCACCTGACTGTCTGGCATGGTAGGCCTTTCAGAAGAGTATCTTTGTATTCCTTCTCCTCTCACCATCCCATTAATGTAAAAATCATCCACATTTGTCTGGATTATAAAAAATTCAAAAGCACATTCTCTATATGCTTAGTGAGGGCCTGGTAGAACTTAACAGCCAGAATGTCTGGAGGTTCTACTTCCATCCCTGATCCTCTTGGTTGTTCTGTTATGGACCAAACTGCCTGTGCCACCCTCTCAGCCCTCCACACACCTCCCTGCAAGTCTGGATGGCTCCTGGTCACCCTTGTAGAGCGGTTCCCACCTGAGCCACAGAGGTGGAGTCAGTTTTACCCTACATTTTTGTTGAGGGGAGGGCTTTGGACAAAAAGGAAGCAAAGACATGGGTAGCAGGGAAGCACTGGTAGTGGAAGATGAGGCAACTGTTTGGAATAGCTGAGGAGCAGATGGGGCTGGAAGCTACCAAGGGAGCAGAGTTAAAGGCACACAAATAAAAAGGTGATGGAAATCTTCTGTGACATCTCTGTGCAGCTGTAAAACACTGCACTGTTGTGAGGCAGCTTAAGCTTCCTGTTAAAGCTTCTCTTCCAAGGCCTGTGTAGAGCAGCCTAAGCTCTCCTCAGTCCAAAACAATTCCTTTTGATTGGAGCCAGCTGGCCCTGCAAAGAGCTTCCTGCTCTGGCTCTTCCTGCCCCTCTCCTGGACAATGCAGGTTTGGACAAGGAGGGCCATGAGATTTCACTTGTGTAGATGCTGAACTTCTATAGCTGCTGACCAGGATTAATGTTTTCTACCTGACCTGAACTAGCCTTGACTGCAAACTCTTTTTTTTTTACTTCTCTCTCTTTTTTTTTTTTTTTTTTTTTTTTTATGAGCTGTTTTTAGAGTCCTAAAATGGGCTTAAGTGACTTCAAGGCTGATGTTACATCATTCAGAAGTTTTTGCTTTCTGGCAGTCATGAAATTAGTATAAACACTGTGCATGTGTATTCAGCTGCTTTGCCCTACAAGCAGGGGAGTCACCTGAGTTTTGTCATTGACAAAATATATTGTCACTTTTTAACATTTTCAAGGATGTTACTAAAATTTGTTCTTTAGCTATTGTCATAAAATGTCACTTGTGCATTTAAATCACATATGCTTTGGGATTCTGACATTTTCAGAATTACAAGACTATTTTTCCTAAATTTAAATCTGCTCAGTGTTTTCTTGGCACGTTCCCCATCCTGCTCTCCTATGACTGACAAGGCAGTTCATATGAGAATTATGAGTATGGAAGTGTGGAGCTGCTTTAAACAAAATATTTTTTTTGTAAAAAAAGATGCTATTTTCAGTAAATCAAGAATCCTAACTCAGTTGTCCAAATCAAGGCCTATTTCATTACCTTTGAGGGGTAGAAGGGTTATGCTATATAGTATAATATTATATCATTTTCCAAGTAATCCTAGAGTTCTTTGACTAGATCAGAAAATACATGATTTCAACAAGAATAAAATGCAGCATTGGGAGAGATGTTGTAAGGGGTTCTATGGTAAATGACAGACATTAGCAGTCAAGTAAGAGTCAGCTTCCTTATGGAATAGAATAGAGTGCTTTAGGATGGAAGAGACCTTAAAGGTCATGGATTTCCAACTGCCTGTTATGGACAGGTATAGTAAAATGTGGCGAACCCTGGATGCAGGAAGAAATGATGATGTCTGGCTCCAGATCAGAAGGCTGAATGATAGTTTTATTAAAACTATGCTATATTACATTAATATAGTATTTAAAGAGATATTATCCTATTCTACATACTTACCTATCTAACTAACAAACTCCTGACTCTCTGCTGAGAGTCTGAGACATGGCTGGATCCAATTGGTCATTGAACCCAAACAACCTTCACCAGAATCCAATCAAGCAATCACTTCAGGTAAACAATCTCCATACCACATTCCACATGGGGAAAACAAAGGAGAAGAGATAATGATTGTTTTCTCTTCTTCTCTCTGTGCTTCTCCAAGAAATCCTGAGAGACAGAATTATGTCTCTCTGTCCAGAGAATGTGAATGTCACAGAAAAGGACACTTTCCACTAGACCAGGTAGCTCAGAACTCCACCCAACCTGGCCTGGAACAATTCCAGAGTCTAAAACTGACTTACTGAACTGTGACTTACTACATTCTTCATTCTATTAATGCCTAAAATAGTGCTATTGCAACAGCTTTTTCTTACCTGCCTTACAAATTTCTTGTGAAGCTTCGGTATGTAGTTTCAAGAAAATTTTAGACTCCAGATAACAAACTAGAACAAAACTCTTGTATGTATCAGTGCCTAGCAGAAGCAATTAGGATTTGAGAATTTATAAATTATTCTTTAAATTTTACAAGTCACTTAACAGCAGCCCACTGCCACTTCTGGGAAGCTTTCCCTCCAGCTGTTTCTTGGTTTTAATCTGAATACAGTACTTGGGGTAGAAGTAAGAATTTTCTTTCTTATATATGAGACATCCACTTTAATTTATGCCAACTTGATGCATCTCAACTTGTGATATCTCACAGGAAATGGAATCCTTTTCTTCAGCTGAATGGTATCATTATGCAGAAGGTGTGAGATTAAATTCTTGAGGCAAGGTCTCATATTTTTAAGCAGGCAAGCACGTATTTATATTCAGTACCAGCTTGCCAGTTTCTTTTAAAAATTATATTTTATTTTATTAAATATTTAAATTGTATTTTTTAAAAATATGTTTCCAAGTAATTTGAGGGAAAACCATGAGGAGCTCTTAACAAGATAACTTTAAATTATTTTCTGGGGTTTGGGGTATCATGTGTACACTTAATATTGTGTTTATTCAGGATTTCATTATACATTACTATGATTTGGAGGGTTTGTGTGCTTAATTTAGCCCTGTTATACAGAGCTGTTTTTCACTCTTGCATTCAGCTCATAAACTCACTGAACTCTTGGATATGTACTTCACTAGAGGAATGGTTTGCTGTGCGTAAAACTGGACTGTCTGCCTTTTTAAAGCTTTCTCATTAGCTCCACGCTTATTGAATTTAGCTTGCATGCATTAAAACTTTTTAAATAAAATGGATATTCCAGGTATCCATCATGTCTTTTGAATAATTTAAGTGTAGGCCTCTAATTAATGTTTGTTTTGTCAAATTACAGCTAATTATCTCTTATTTAAATTACTTTTTCTTTTTTAGGTAAATTGAGAAATACACATTGTTTTCCACACAGAGAGTCAATGTTCAATGGTTTGAATTTCTGTTTAACTACATTTTTATATTTGTCACACACCATTCAGGACACAACTGTTGAAGGGACAACATGCAGCACACCTTCTGTTGTTCTTCCAGAGAATGCTGTCATGCCAGATGCAGAAACTGATAAAAATCTGGTTAACAGGTACTATACAATACATTACCAATCCATCCATAAATTCCAGGGCCTGTGTTTCTAAAACATTGCCCTGAAATATTGTATGAAAATATTAAGGCTGCATCTCTGTGATTTGGTCATATTGCCTTTGCATTTTGAGAATGGTGTTTGGGATGCTGGGTGGAGGAACAGGATTATAATTTAGACGAAAATAATAGAGTTACACAGAGTAACTTGCCTGGCAACCCCACTTATTGAGCTGGACAACTTAAATATCTAGTTTGAACACTGTAATACAATGGGGTTTGAAGAAGCTTTGGGCTTGTTCACATAGACGGGACAAGTATACCACCTTGAGGTTAAACATATGTGAAAGTAAGTCGTTGAATAGAAATAGTAATCTTTTTTGAAGTTGAAAACTTCAATTCAGTCTTCAGTTATTATATTTACAAAGCATACTTACTGACCTGGTCTTTTTAATTTTATTGACCTGTCTCTAAATTTTTAAGTCATGGTAGTAATCTAAAGAAATGCAGGGATTTTTTTCTGAGAAATGAGGTTCACAGTGAATGAGATTAATAGCAAAATTCAGAACTCCTTTGTCAGGTCAATTTCCGCAATTTTCCTTCTTTCCACAATCTCCTCCATTTTCCAGTTGTTTGATGGTGCGAGGGACTGCAATAAATGCTTATTGTCTTCATTTTTAAACTGAAGGGCTTTCTTTTTAATATTAACTTCTAATAGGCAATTAGGACCTCTTTTTGGTGTCATACGCCATTTTTTTTTTCTTCATTTTTCTCTCTAGGCCTCGGAGTCCTCACAGGAGACATTCTAACCGTGCCACCAGGAATTCCACAAGTTCACTGACTTCTGTCGGTAAGAAGTGATTATTCATTTCAACTAGGATGTGTTCGCAGAAAATGTGACATGCAATAAAAACGTATAGAAAGAGTCTGATCATACTGACCACATTTTTTTTTCTCTGCACACTATGTAATGCACGCACAGGGAATGCTGCTGGGATGTTGAATTTTTGTAAGTGGATTGCATGCAGTCCCATTTAGGGAAATACAAACATTGTTACTTTCAGAAAGTTGTTAATTGGTGCATTAACATCTTTAGAAGGCTCAACATATACATGGTTTATTTCTTGAAGAATTCTAAATACTGGTTTTGCTACACTTGAGCTTCTCTTTTGCTGGCACAGAGAAAGCGTCATGGGAAGTCTGCCTCTCAAAATTCCAGCACACAAATCTGAGTTTAAACCAAAACAGATATTTCACTGAAAATAGATTGCTTTAGAATATTTAATCTGTAAGTGTGGTTTTTGGCATCCTTGAAATTGATCTAAATTTAAGGAAATTAAAGCCAAAGTATTTCTCCTTTCCCACCAAAAAAATCAATCAAAAAACAATAGTGAAACAACTCCACACCCACAAACAAAAAACCCTTGAGTTTTTGCTGCTTGCTTGCATTCTTAGCTTTTCTGAAAACTGATGGTTCTGTAATGGCTCTTGTCAATTTAAAAAATATTTTTCTCATATTACCTGATGACTTTCCTCCCACTCATCCAAGCTGTTCTTTAGATGCTCATAAAAGCCATTTATAATTACTCACTCAGAAAGGACCTTGCCTTCTTTGCTTCATCATAGGCTGGAGAATTGTAAAAGTTGAGTGTTTTCAACCAATTTATATGCCACAGATTAATGAAGTGTTAAATTAATTGTTTAAAACTATTGTGCATAAATCTTTGCTGGGTGAGTTTGTGGGTTCTTAGCCTTGAAAAACTGAACATGAAAATTCCATGAAGAAACTCAGTCTACAACAGAAATGCCATTACAGTTAGTTGAGATAGATCTAATGGCACTTTTATTTAGAAATGAGAAACTGCATTGGAGGCACAGCTGGAAAAGCCAGTTTCACATATTCAGAGAATTTCTGATCACAGTGAATTAATCTTAGTGGGTTACCTGTGGTTTTGAGGACTTGCTCTAAACTTGAGATTGTAACAGCATAAGGAATGAGCAAACAGTAATTTTTTTGTGACATGAAAGCTCAAAACTAAATTTATAGGTATAAATTTACAGGTTTGTTTTGAACTTGTTACTCTCACATGCCACAGTATAGCTGGAAATGGAAGGTCCAGCTCTAATTCTGCTATTTTCTACACAGACAATAGTGGTCATGTGATTGATCTGGTGAATGATCCACTACCAGATGTCAAAATATCAGAGGAAGACAAAAAGAAGAACCTTGAATTGTTAGAAGAAGCAAAGAAAGTGAGTGAGAGGTTCCTAACACGCAGAGGCAGAAAGTCAAGAAGCAGCCTCTCAGAGTCACCCACAGGTAGGGGCAGATCCTGAAAACTAGATTTTACATTCTCCTTCAAACATCTGTAAAGGCAAACATCTCCTGTAATCTATACATTGCTGCTGTTGACATACACTTGGTTATTTTGAAAGTCAGAATCCCTCATGTCCTTCACAAAGTTCCACGTAAAACGGAAATGACCCATCTGTGCTACCCAGACATGTCAGGGTAAAATGGTGTAAAGTTACACTGTAGACAGTGTAGCAAGAAAGCATGAAGTATTTCTTTCAAAAAGTGAAAAATGCTCACAAATTGTTGTTTAAATGAAATTCTAATGGCTAGATTCTTCCTACTGAAAAACATTCCCTCCAGACACAATTACACTGCCTCCTATTCTGAACATAGTCATAAACTAAGCTAAATGGACCAGATCCTCCTTTAAAAACAGAAGAATAAAATGTTTTATTCTAGAATGTCAGTTGAAATGATTTTTCCTTTTATATGAAGTGTTTGAAAACTGGAATAAGATGCCATTTTACCATGAAATAGGACTCTCATTTTGATTTGAAATGCCAGTTCAAACAAAGTTCTGTCTTACAATTGGCCTGACAACCTCTGGAGGTAAAAAACAAAAAGCATCCTACAACTATACATCACCTCTTTTGTTTCCTAAATTCCTCATGAATCTTCTCTTGTGCTGTATCTCCTCAGTGCTTACAGTACCAGAAAACTGAGGAGCACAAGGATTTCCTGTATCAATAGAAATATATCCATTTTTGATAGGTATAAGACTAAACTCCTAATTGCCAAGTACAACCTGGTAATTAAAATAATTTGTCAGGTTCTGGAAAAACACATAACTATGATATTGATGTTTTAATCTCATCTGAATTCTAAAAATACAGAAGGTACAAGCCTATAAAGTAAAAATCACCTTTTCATTTTGTTTTTGTCTTTGTTCTATTGAAGCAGTTTCCCCTACTCTTAGTCCTAAAGTTTCACCCATAGCATCTTGGAGCAACTCTCTCATGCTTCCACTTCCATCAGGTAAAATGATCATGAATCATTAAGGGAGAAAAGACCTTTAAGATCATCAAATCCAATCATTTGCAGGCTCAAACTTTAACTTATAAAAGCTCACCAAAAAAAGTATTTGTTTAGTATTTCTTGAGAAAAGTAAATTTAAGCATCTAGTCCTGAATATGATACAGTTCCTTAATGCATACAAAATTTATTTTTGCATATAGATTTTTAAATTATATTTTTATTCCTGTGATGTTGCAAGTTCACATGTTCTATTTTCTAAATTTTATCAATAACAGACTTTTGAGAAGATTTAATGATCTTTCACTTGCTATGTGTTTGATTTTTTTTTTTCTTTTTTAATAGTTTTTTTGACATTTGAATTTTTGTCCTTCCTGTATTATGGGAAACTGTGCACATATGTATGCTACAGTAGTAAAAGTTTTGAGCAAAATATCAGGCTATGCCCTAATTATATGTGTATCTTTCAGGGTTGGATGCATGCACAACCACTAGTATTGAGTCAGTATCTCCAGGGCAGGTAAGAGCTGAATAGTCTGTGTAATAACCTGGTTATTACAGTACTATATGATAATATGCTGCCCTTTTAGTCCCTTATAAAAATTGTGTGCTTGGAATACCATTTTATAGACCAAAATTGGATTACTGGTATTTTCTCTGTTCAGCAAGGGACAAATAGTCAGTCTGAAGACAGAAATCCATGAAGCAACAAGAACTAAAAGATCATGAAGATCTGTTAAGTGTAGAAAATAGAAAAAGATGCAATATAACCCTAATCTATGAAAAAACTAATCCCTAAAGTTATTTCATAAATAAATACAAGAAGCAATGTAAAAATTATGGGATTCAAAGTTCAGCCATTAATATCTATATCTAATGTTTGTAGGATAGGTGTGAAAGCTGCTTGTAAGCAGTTTTGTTTTGTTTTTTTTTTTTTGCTAGAATAACACAATTGTGAAAGAGGAAGACAGGCAAACTGCAGAGGTAAGTGTCTTAGCACACATATGATTTACTGATGGGACCAAAAATGCTGAAAGATTGTTCACTGGGTGAAAAGAAAATTACCCTGCTTTAAGAAATTATGAAGCACCTACAAAAGAAGTAGAGGATAGTAAGCTTACCACTTGATCTTTCCGAACTATCATGCACCCTGCTCTAGCTCAATTAAAAGCAATATACTAAATAACTTTATGAGCAAAATAAAAATATCTACTATAGCCATTTTGGTGTATATCAGTGGTTTAGACTTTCCATGACTTTAACATGCTGAGGAGCTTGGCTTTAGGAGGATTGATGTAATGTACTCTGGAATGGGAGAGGTTAACTCAAAAGTTCAGAGGGCAGATTCCAAATTCACTTAAGTGCCTTTCAAAAATTATTTCTTTTGTCAACCGCACATATTCAAAAGCAAATGTCACTGAAAAGGAAATGGCTTTTTACAATGAAAATCTGTCCTTGTGCAGGGGAAAACAGGAATCTGGACTTGATTCCCTGTTTCATGTGTATCCCTGTACTTTCAGAATGCTGCAAAAGGGTTAATTGATCGAAGGCAGAATGATCAAAGAAAGATTTCTCAGGGAAGGTTGGTTCCTCGTTCTGCTGGCTTTGAAAACTCCAAAGAGAAGCTCTCAGACCAAAAGGAAAACTTTGATCCACGTAATCATATGGATACTTTACCTAAATTCTCCCCTTCAGCTGGTGATGGTGGCAGAATGTCTCTTAATACTTGCATGAATGTTTGTGAAAATGAACTTGGAAAATCATTCCTCAAGAAAGGGAAAGAAAAAGATGTTCCTTTAAGAACCCATCTACCAGGACAAGGAATAGGAAATATGGACTCAAAGCTAAAAATTCCTGTTCCAGAAATGAGGGACCATAAAGTTCCATGTAAACCAGAGTTTAAACTGTGTGGACTGCGTCCTCCTCTATTGCGGGCTGTGTCCTGGGACAGCTTGGAGCCTGGACAGAAAGAGAAAACCTCTTTAAAATTACCATCTGAGGAAGATAAGAGCTTTCTTGGAAATAAATCCAGCAATCAGTTAAAAGCATTCAAAGACCTTCAAATCCAAGTTCAGCCAGTTCGAATGCAGAAGCTGACAAAGCTCAGAGAGGTAAGTCCTGTCATCAGTTGTATCCTGTTAGAAAAAGTCATTTTCATAGCCTACTAAACTTTCAATGTGTTTAGTATTGTTTTTATCACTGCAAGAAACATACAGTAATAAAATGGGAAACAGTTTCAGCATAATCAATACAGAATTGTATCATGTTTTTCCTTTGCAACTTTACTAAATTGTAACCTGTAAGGAAATTCCTTGGATTTACTCTATTTCTTAGTTCTCTTCAGATATGCATCAAGTGCACTGTGGTACTTCAAGGTGTACATATGCATGTGCTCTTGCACGTTTACATTTGCAAGATCACGGAGGACAGGAAATGGGTTTGTAATGATTAGTTGATTTTTGAAGCTTCTCAGAAAATGTCTCAAAGTGTTCAAAGCTGTAGAACTGGGCATCTCTGACAGCAAGGGCATGTAGAACATGCCCAAACTTACAGTTCCTAATTATTAACTGCTGCAAATTTATCAGCTTCTAAATGAATAATCTGTTATTAAATAATTTCCCGAATGGTTAGCAATTAAACCCCTGGAAAAAAAGCAGAAATTTCATGAAAATATAAACCACCAAAAGAAAGTAGTGGACATGTCTCTATGGCTAATAATGACTTTTAAAAGAAAAAAGAAGCAGCAGGTACTGTCCTGAACAGCCTAATAAGGATATTTTCTTTAAACCTCAGTAGTTAATATTTTAGGATGACTATAAGGCTGGCAGGTGAGGACTGCAAGTTCTGAACTTTGGTTAATTCATTCCCATTATATTGTTTGGTAATGGCAGCTTCATTATCCAGCTTTTCCTGTAGATATAATACATATATTCTTAGTGTGTATGTACTGGAAGTTTTGATTATAGGGACCCTTGGGCCATTTAATTACAGAAGTTCTTCCCTGTGAGGTTTGTGAGGCACTGGCACAGGTTGCCCAGAGAAGCTGTGGCTGCCCCATCCCTGGAAATGTCCAAGGCCAGGCTGGATGGGGCTTGGAGTAGCCTGGGATAGTGAAAGGTGTCTCTGCCCATGGCAGGGGGTTTGTAACCAGGTGATCTTTAAGGTCCCTTTCAACCCAAGCTATTCTATAATTCTTTAATTTTATCATTTTGAATCACCTAGAAGTTATTAAGCACAAATAAAAGAATCAAACAATTATTGCAACATAATCTATAATTCCAGTTCGGAAAGGTTTGAGCTCTGTCTCCAGTACGAATTATCTACTCATTAACAAAAACAGGTATTTGTGAATGTAAACATATATGAGAATATGAAAGAAAATGAGGAGATAATAAAAGGAGAAATAAGACAACAAGGTATAATCCTTGAGAGAGCATTTTTTCTTACGTGTAAGGAATAGAGGTAGAACACAGTAACAATGAAGCATCCCAAGCTCTGGTCTTGATGAAGTCAAAGTGGCAAAGTCTCATATGGAGGATTTTCTGGATTTCTTCTGTTATCTGGGATACTTAGTTATACTGTGGCTACATCCAAAACTACTTTTTTCATTGTCAGTGACTAAAGCTCTCACTTACCAAAACTGTACATATCTCATTGAATAAGGGGCATATTTCACAAATCTTTGTTTGTGTCACTGGAAATTTTTCTCAATAATGCCCGTATGAAATTTGAAATATGTAATATTCTAGAGTGCATGTGAATTTATTTGTATCCATGTTATGTAGCATCTGACTGTAATGTAATGCAAATATCTCTATTATGTTTATTAACTAAAGTAAATGTTTTATTTACTGTTCATGTGGCAGGGATATTTAAATTGAGATGAGTAGTTCACTTACTTAGAAATATTGTTTCTCTTCACAGGAGCATATTTTGATGAGAAATCAAAATTTAGTTGGACTTAAACTTCCTGAACTTAGTGAAGCATTGGAACAGGAAAAAGGTGCAGTATCATAAAAACTGGAAGGACTGTTTGCTATACACTGATTTTTATAACTGACTATTATGGGGGTGGGGGGGCAAGGAGAAAAAGTCTTAAAATCTTCAATTGCAATAATAGTTGAAGCAGTCGTGAAGGACAGTGATAAATTACTTTTAAAAACAAGAGAGACCAATATTGGCAAGTAGCTCAATTTCTTGATTATTTGAACCAAGAAGATATTAGATATTATTATAACCAAGGGAGAAGATGCACACGTGGAATGGAGTCTGGCTTGTACCTAATAGTTGTGGGACTGAAGTTTCAGTAGCTTTCTGTAAAAATATTTCAGCAGTGATGGATTAAATGGATGAAACTTCTGCAAGATATTATGGTCATAAGGGTGAATTTGATCCCTGGGAATATAAATAAGAGATGGGATGCTTTATTCCTTTTTTATTTTAGTATATGTGTGGCAAGCATTGAAATGGCATTTTCACTTCTGGCGAAACTGACTTCCATGTCAATGTGAATGAGAAAATGTAAGGCCAGAAAAGAGTCATAAAGGTGTTTCAAGGATTGGAAAGATGTGCCTTACAATAAGTGGGATTTTTTAAACCTCAGTTTCTGTGATTTTTAAGGAAAAATAAATGAAAATGATTTTTTAAGGAAAAAGCTTAAACATTCATAAATGAGGAAAAAGAAATCTGGCACCAAATATTTTCTCCAATCTAACATAAGCAAAAAATATTTGATGCCTGTAGTTGCATCTAAAAAGATTCAGAACGAAGAGCAAAGATATGAACCTGAGGATAATTAGGATAATTCAACATGTGGAAGAATTAAATAGCAGTAGTGCTTAGATAAAATATTTAAACCAAATATATCAACCTAAAATATTTAAGCCGAACCTATATATTTGTTTGGAAGTAGTTAATTCAGAATTTGCTCAGTGTGACATTAACTGAAATGAAGGTGGTTACTATGAAATGAGTTGAAAATGATTGTCCAAGATTTAATCCAAAGTCAATTTCGATTTTTTTTTAATACTATACATTTTGCTAATTCATACATTTGCACTGGGCCTAGCTCATCAGCCTTAAAGTTCCTGTTACACTTAGAGATGGTTGCGATACTACATTTCATGTTATGTCTGGAAATGGACACATCTTCAGTCTGAATGAATCAAGATCAAAAGAGACTTCTTGTTCTCTGTATTTAGTGATTATGTATTTGAATTCTTAGATATAATATTATTCCTGTCACTCTGTTAATGTATAATTTCCCAGAAATTATTTACCAGGCTCCCTTTGAAAGTATAAAATAGTTGCCATTTTACCAGCCTGCTATGTAATTTCGGCAGGTTTGGAAGCCTTGAGGAAAACGTGAATAGATAAGCATTATTTTATCCAGCTTCTCAACATGGATCTCATGAGTATCACAAGCTTTTTATAGTCCAGTAAGTTATCTGAATGGTAGCCAGAACATTAAGAGTCAACTCCTTGTCCTCAGTGGAGAAAACAAGCAAGGGGTCAAATTCTTAGTAATTTGTTAGGGAGACCTACTTCCTTACACTGTCATAAAAGCCACCTTTTCAACTGGAGTGGTAATTTTGCTTAAACAATAGGAAATAGTCAGATCCTTCATTATTACTATTATGAATCCAATGTACTGTCTCCATCATGGTTTTTATCAATGACAAGTTACTGTCACCATCTGAGTAGACACAACTCTGCCTCTACACTAGATAAGTGGGGTGCATTAAATCTGGAGACACTGTGGTGTCAGGCTGGATTTTATGGGGATACATGTGACTGTTCTTAAGTAAATACTGGAATTTTTTTTAATATAAAGCAAATGCACAGAACTAAAATGTAGCTGGAAAGGATCTCCCTTTCTGTTCCATTTTTCATGTTACTGCTCTCCAGATTTACACACGAATTATATGGCAAGTCTAAGAGTCCTACTGTTAAACTTATGAGTAGGAGAACTGTTTAAAGATTCCTTCCCAAGTCTGAGATTCAGGCTGGCGACTCTGCCTTTCCTACAGGAGAATCCTTCATGAAATTCTGGTAAGACAGAAGGTGATAAGGGAACTAATATACGTGAAATTAAGTAAAATGAAAATACAGAAGCTAAGTAACAAGAATTTTTAAAAAGTGTTAGCCATGTCTTGGTCCTTTGGAAAGTGACAGAATCAGAGAATGCAAGTATAACCTTTATATCCTGTTTCAATCAACATACAGTGCAAACAGAATAAATGGTGTACAAAATCTGTAGTATGGTACGTTACACTACACTTCATCTTGGCAGGTGGGACCTAAAGCCTTAGAAAATGACAGTATTCTATTACAAAATCTCAGCTAAAATAGTCCAGAAAATAATGTGTGACTTTTCAAGTAACACAATTTTTTTTAAATTGGAAAATGTCTTTAGGCCCTTCACCTCTTCCTTCCCCCACTGAAGAGGAAGAGACAAAGAACAGCTCTGATGTCATGCCCAGCATTCCTGATGTATTGCTGCGAAAACTGCGAGTGCACAAATCGCTTCCAGGAAGGTAAAAGTTCATTAGAAGTGGAAACACATCATCCAGGAGAAGACATACTAATGGTCTTCAGCGAACTTCCCTTCCCTCCATTCATAGGGAGATAAATTGTTGCATTTTAAATTGTGCAATACAGATTTACTGAAAAAATTTGGGGAATGCACCAACTTCCAGTAAATGGCCAAATTTTAAAATTAGTTTGAGAGTTTCTACATAAAAAGCCTTAAACCTTAATTGCATGCTACAAGTAGATTTTTTTTACAGGTTTTTCCACTCCTGGTTTCCAGGACTGCTGCTGCAGATATGTACTCACATTGAAAATATTATTTCTCACCCCCATGAAAATAATCAGGCCAGATAATGCTTTCCAGTGGTAGAATTTGGATATTGTAAGAATTCTGCAGTTTTTCTGCAGGGGACAATTTTTAGGGTAACAGAGTTTATTTTGCAAAATGAGTTAAGGACTCACTTGTGAATTCACCAATTTGGACTTTCCAAGACATTAAAACAATTCCAAACTTATTCAGCCAAAAATAATTCCTCCATTTAGCCACATGATTAGGTACCAAAAACCACCAAAGCCTTCAGTTATCTGAACTGTCAATAAGGATTCTCTGTGCACGTGAGATAAATATTTAACATTTATGGTGAAGGAATTGTTATTTACATTATTTTATATAAATGAACGCACGAGGTGAAGAACTTCTGAGAGACCACTGCTTGATTGTAACAATACTGAAAAGTAGTAGGAAAGTCTTGAAACTCGAACATATATTTTGTTGTTCTTTTCAATTAAGTGTTAGAATACCTTTGTTTTTAGAGAAAAAACTCATTAAAATGTGAATTTTTTACTTTTATATCTAGCTCCCCACCACTCACTGAAAAAGAAGTTGAGGTAAGTATGTTATTATTTTAGACATGTTCCAATTTTAAGTGATTAAGTCTAAGTGTGGTTATTAGAATGAGGTAATAGGGTGATTTTTTTCCCCTCAAAATATATTTCTCATTTAGAAAAACCCCACATTGAACTCATCAAAGTAACAATTTTGTGAAATATCAGCAATAGAAGTTGTAAAATGACAGAGTAGGAAAACATTTGTGTTTTTCACAATAAAATACGAATTCACTTTGGAAATAGTTTTAATATTCTAAAGGAGTAAAAAAAAAGATATTAAATAAGATCAGAAACTCAGCAATTTAAATTGCATTTTTATTAGCTAATATGAGCTTTGGGGCATTTTTAATAATATCCTGCTGTTAGTTTACATAATTTTTGCTTTCTCAGTTCAAGCCAATAATTTTGTTTGCAGATCTCTTTTTAGCTTGTAGCACTTGTTTCTTGTATTTTTTAAATCACATAGCAGTCAAGAAAAAGATCCTTTTTTACAACACTGAAATCTATTGGAGCTATTGATGCCTTTTGCTTTGCGAAGTATTAATCCTAAGAAATAATGAGTCTGGTAAAGAAAGAAACAATCTTTAAAAGCAGGGCGCAAGAGAAAAAAAAATGTTAGCACTTAATCTTTTGCTGGCTTCAGGGGTAGGTGTTTATCCCTTAGGTAAAACAATGCTCATGGTGAGCTCATCCCTGGACTTCCTCTGCACAGACTATCTGTTTAAAAACCTTGGGAACCCTTGGAGGAAGTCCAGTTAGAAAACAGATCCATTGTGATTCTGGTGCTTCTGGTAGGCTGCTTCCTTCATTATGACTGCCCTACAGAGCTCCCAGAAAAACATTCATGAAAAGAGACAGCAATGCATTTATTATTCCTATTTCAGTGGAAATAAATAGACGTGATTTTTCAAAGAAAACAAATTAAAAAATAATTTCAGTGTTCTGTTTCAATACTTATTTAAGCAGCAAAGTCTGTTAAACACATACCTTATTCCTAAGTTGTTATTGAAAATTATTTTACTGTGAGACTTACTGGAAAATGCCTTTTTTGATCCCAACAGAATGTATTTGTACAACTCTCCTTGGCCTTTAGAAATGATAGTTATACACTGGAATCTAGAATTCAGCAGGCAGAGAGGGAGAGAAATCTTACTGAAGAGAATGCTGAGAAGGAACTGGAAAACTTTAAAGCAGCCATTACGGTAAGAAACTAGAGGGAATTATTTTCCTGAACTATAGTGTAAAGAAAAGTGCACACATATTGCAAATGTGTTTGGCTTGTAAATTCAGCCCCAAAAAGTCATTTTCTGATGCTCAAACTCCTTGCCATGAGCTGCCTACTACTCTGAGAGAGGGCATCTTCTGCCAGAGTGAGCCAGCATTTGTGGAAATGCCTAGGGGATGCTTCCCTTGGTGTAGCAGATTTCAAGAATAAAGACTTGGAGTTTGCCGTTCAGTTCTTGATATAAGTTTGTGACATAGCTAAGAGCATTCTGAACTGCAGTTGGAGCACTAATCCTTATTCTCCTGAGCAAGACCTTCTTTAGCAGTAAATTTGAGGTGTCCAGATATGAGATACCAAAATTATTTGAAACCTGAATACTGAGATCTGTAACTTGAAACACCTCTTAACTGCAGGTACTAGAAGGTATGCTGTGTGAAAGGAAACAGCAAGGAATACTTAAGGAATAGGTCCAATCTCAGACTCAGGTTTTGGGCCTGAGTACACTTTCATTCCAGTTGTTCCTGCTGCTCCTTTACAGCAGTAGTTTTGAGTCCTTCCTGTCAGTATTCTCTGGGTCTTCTAACTGGAACGACAAAAAATTGCTATGATGTGTCAACTGAAGTGCTGTGCATGTCTTTGTGCATAAAGGAAGGGATGGTTAGACACCAGGCTGATCAATGAAATAGCCTTAGACCCAGCATTCATTATTGCAAGGAGGTGCTGCCATTCTTACGAGAATAGTGAGGAGAATATATGATGCTCCCATTTACTTTATCATCAGGTAAGAAAATACATAATTAAAGACTATGATCTTCACATCTTTTCATCTCGAATTCCAAATCTCCATTTTCAAATTACTGTTTCTGTAAAAAAAAATGTTGAGATTATTTTGCTGCTCTTCACTCTAGTCCATGTGTAAAGAGCAAGCAGAAACATTAAACCTCAGGGCTTTCAGACTGAAATAAGTCTGTTAGATTTGCCATGTATTTCTGTCAAGAATCCCTAATTAGGCACCAAGGTTCATGTTGCCAGCATGGGACAGATGTGATTAGGATTTTCTTCCTTTAAGCAGTTCACATGCTACAGTCTGGCTTTTACAAGCTTTTTTACATTATTTATAACAAAGGGGAAGCTGCCTTCCCTATGAAAGCTTTTGTTCAGGATAGTGGAATAAACTAACAAGCAATTAAAAACATTGATGACTTCTGTAAAATCTCTGTCATACTAGACCTATACTTGTTCCAATCTCATTGAGTGGTTATCTTCACTTCTGTAGGACAGGTACATATTTTACATCTCAGTGACAGTTTTACCCGTTTTTCTGATTTTTAATCAGTCTTGTGATAATTGATGTATTATTCAGAAACGTAATTTCAAGAGAAAGCTGATCTACATGAATTTCTGGTTTTTTGGGGTTTTTTTGAGAAAATAAGGAGGTTACAGTTGTCAAGAAAGAAAAAAAAATCTGAAATTCTGTGCATGATTTTTCCTAAACTGATTTCCTTATGCCTTTTTGGTTCTTGAAGTCAAATTCTGGTTACAATTTATTATCAAGGTAGCATTGCAATCCTTGAGACTATAATGTCTTATTTTGCAAATAAGTGAAGTATCATGGAACTGAAAGAACACGCGTGTCCTTCTTAATACTTGTGCCCAGAAAATTAAAATGTCCTTTGTCCCTCGGCAATCATTTTTACGTGCTAGTTGAAATGAACTTAGTATTTCTAGAGTTCACAGGTAGTGGGGAATGTTTCACTATGGATTTAAGAAGGGAAAGTATCACAAATGTACTAAGCCCTCTCCTCTCCAAATGTGCCCTCTCTAACTCCTCAAACTGTGTCCCTGCAGCTTGCAGTGAAGCACCAGGGCAGCAGCACTCTGGGCTGGGTGTGGTGGCAGTGCTGGCACCCTTCTGGGTGTGCCGGTCTAATCTCTCCATGAGTTCTGCCTGGACATTTCTACCCCATTTTGGGGCTCTAGCCACTCCATTTGAACTAAAACCATGCTGATAAAGCTGCTGTATTTTTGCTTCAGTCTTCAGCTCACTTGTGGCACCACTATGAGCACAGGGAAGCCTACCAGAAGCTCCTGGAGGACATTGCAGTGCTGCGGCGTTTGGCTGCCAGGCTCTCGAGCCGCGCCGAGATGGTCGGAGCCGTTCGTCAGGTGAGGGCATCCCGACGTTTACCTGGGTCCTGGATCCATGGGCGCACTCTTTTCCAGCCTGGGCCAGAGGTTATGTTCACCCTCTGAGTTTTATTTGCCATTTTGACAGATTAAAGATGTCTGTTGTAGTGTCAAGTAACACACCACTGCAGCCTGAAAACAATTCCAATGGTAGAAGATTGCCCATTAAGCTATTTAATACCTGTACAACAGGAGCATATTTTTTTTTCAGAACTACAGCTGCATCACAAGAAACTAATTTCAAATCAGTGCAGCACAAAATAATAAGAAAAAAACTTTTCTGGGTCAAAAAACTCATCTAATTCAGTCACCTGCTTTTGGCAGTAGTTCAGTCTATTACAAAAAGTATGAAAAGAGAGTGAGTATAAAGAAGAACACATCAATACCCTCCCAGATTCAAGAATGTTCCCTCTGCCCTCTAAAGTTAACAGATTGAGGTCAGTGACAAAGATCTTTGAGGGTTTGAAAACAAATGTGGTATACCACATAAGTAATCAGATAGGCACCCAGGCAGGGTGTCTGAATATATGAAAAAATAAATTATTTATTCTGTGAAATGCGTATGAATTGGCATTTTCTTCTATCTTAGGAATTTTCAGTCATGGAGGCAGCAATATTTCCTTAAGAACAACAACTCCAGATTTAACCCTGACATGGAGAATACATATAGAGGCAAATGATTTGTTGGAGATGTGTAGAGGTTACCTGGATGTTTCCTTCTCTTCTTCCTTAGGAGAAGCGTATGTCAAAGGCAACAGAAGTAATGATGCAGTATGTGGAAAATTTGAAAAGGACATATGAAAAGGATCATGCTGAACTAATGGAGTTCAAGAAACTTGCCAATCAGAATTCTAGCAGAACCTATGGTGCATCTGGTAAAGAAAAATCAAAATTTAAGGGTTTGTCTTGCCTCTAATTCAGAGAGATGTGGGTGCTATTAACAATTTAAAGTATTGGGAAACCTGTTCATCAAGTTATGATCTACAGGAGTAGATTTTTTAAAGTTACAGAAATAAGATGTTTCATATGAGCCATACTTAATGCTATAGTAAAGTAATTTGAAATCGCTATCACTTACCAAATTCTTATGAGATCAAATCATATTTTCTCATGGCCTCTTACAAATCCATGTATTCTGCATAATTTTAATGCAACTACCTTTTAGGTCTAGACGAAGGCAAAATTTAATTATTAAAACCACTTTTTTCTTTTTGCAATCTCTTCTTTCCTTTGCTGGAAACTGAAATACAAGGATTTTCCTTTGCAAGACCTTGTATATGGAGGCCAATAGTGGGATTTTTTTCTTTTTGCCTGATTCAGTGAAAATAGTACTGATTTGGTTATTTGCAATTATTTCAAATTTCTTGTGCAGGTGTAAATGAGAAGACAGCTGAATGACAATACTGTATGACAATAAATATATGATCACTTACAGACCCTGTGTAAATATACTGTATCTGAGTTTGAAATATAAGCAAGGTTTCTATTAATATTATTTAGAGATACTCACTAGTCTAAGACTGTTCTTTATCTTTATTTCTGTGCAGAAGATGGAGTTCCTCGTTCATCTAGATCCATGTCTCTCACTGTTGGAAAGGTATTTCTACAATATAAAGAAAATGAACATTTTATGTAGTGAAATTTGTCTGTGTGTATACACTCAGTTCTTTAGGCTGTGCTCAAACAATGCTGGTAAATTCTCAATATCCTTAATGCAATTTAGTGCATGTGCTTTGCAATTTTGTATACATGACTTAGTATGGCTTTGTGCAATAATGGTATTGCCTGATGGGAAACTCTAGTGTTTTATTTCTCCAAAACTCCCAAGTGCTGGAGATCAAGTCTGTCACAAAACTTGCTAAAACAACCAGTGATTTGGGATGCATGAGTCCCAGCATGATCATTAAGAAATTTGGTGATCAGGTGCATTATACTCAGTCTACTGTTTATTTTCATATTTTTATTTGATTGGGTTGTAGTTCTTTAGGTATAGTTTATTCCTGCCACCTCTGAGTGTTGGGTATAAAGAATTACAGCACAGAGCATGCAGAGGGCAAGAGGGGATTTCAGAATGAGAACCTCATAGGTTGAAGCAGAGGTCTCAAAGACTAAATTTAATAAGGACAAGTCCAAAGAATATAGAGGAGGAGAAAAAGAACCTGAACACTGGAATGGACTGCCTACCATGGCTTCAGACTTCCCAGTGTAGTTTTTCAGGAGCACATTAAATAAAACTGTTGTTAATGAACAGGTATGGTTGGTTTTGTCTAGAACCACAATCATGGAGTAACTCCTAAGAATTCACTAAAGCTGTGTTTAACTCCTTTCCTGTAATGTTGTCTAGAGCAGAATCTTAGAAGTGTTTGGATATGCACTAAAGCAAAACTGTTAGAGGCTGTAAGTGTTTTGGTGTTTTACTTAGTTGGAAGCATAGATTTTACATAGATTTTATAGGATGAAGCATTTGTCTACTTACCAAATGACAGCAAAAATTTACATAATCTCTGCTTGAACTAGAATATATTGTTACAGTTAGCATGTGTTTGTCATAAGAAAGAATTTTTATGGTTTTTGGGAAATATAAGCAGTGTTGCATGATGCTATCTAACAATTCAGGGCTGGGGAGAAGGGACTGTTCTTTTGTGGAAGGAATGCATGTTTTTGTTTCAGTAAATTATAATAAATATGTTTACATGTAATTAATATATCATAGTGGGCACAGTATATCATAATAGGGACATAGCAAGATAAGAGTTTAATGTATGACTTCATTATTTCCAGTCATTGTGACACTGGCACTTTCCCCAGTATCATTATGCATCTGCTTTCATCAAAGATAAAGGCCTGTGATAAGAGCTGACAATATAAATTCAGAACATTTCTGTTGTGTGATTTACACTGCTGGGCTTTCAGTATGGATGGAAAAGAGCAGCATCTCTGTGCCACACCTCATTTCACATTGAACACTTGCCTTACCATGCAGGACAAGATGAATTTCTCGGAAAAACCATGACCTTTTATTTTACTTTTGCTCCCAACTCTTCTTTTCCCAAAGGGGACACTGACCTACATCTTTGCTGCACAAGTTAACCCACAGAATTGTTCTTTATTCTGTCTTGTTGTATGGTAGGAAAAATAATTGTTATTTCTCCCAGAATATGCCTCGAAGGAGAGTCAGTGTTGCAGTTGTTCCTAAATTTAACTCCTTGAACATTCCTGGTCAGTCACCAGCAGCTTCACCTATACCTTCAATGCCATCCCTGGTAAGTAAAACCCACATTTTAAAGTTACCAGTTTTTGTCTAAACCACTTTTGCATAGAGGAAAGCTATAGTTATTGTAAAAGGAAGGCTTTTCATTGATTTAACTTGTTTTGACTCCACCCTGGGTAAAGGGGGTGAACGGAGGCAATTCCTGTTGTGTAAGGGGATATTGCAATCTTCATGAATGATCCCTTTGGGAGCAACTGAATAGGGCAGGCTGCTGATTCACAGGCACTGGACATTGGTGAGGCAATTTGCCTTTTAATCTGAAGTAACACGCAGAAAGAAATAATGAAAATAGCTGTACCCTATAGAAGAGAAATTTTAACCAGAAACCACAGAACACAACTGGACTGCTGTTCTTCATTGCCAAACGTCCACTGAACAGACATAAATCTAATGAATGTACAGAAATGTACATGACAGTAATTTAGAGGTTCTGTGATGATCTGGGATCAGTGGAGCCATCAGCCTCTTAATTGAAAATTTTTTTTGTTAAACTTTAATAAATTAATGAAACTCAAATCTGAACATAATAAATCCATACAAATGCTTTGGAGAAAAACTGCAAGACATATTCACTGTTCAGAGATGAGCTAAGATGGGACATAAAGTTATGGAGTTTTCTGTTAAAAATACAGGATTATTTAAATGAGGGTTTTGCTGAGAAGCTAAATCTATTTATCTGTTTTACATGTAAGAAAAGCATCTGTTTGTGCAATTTATTTATTATGTACTCAGAGTCTATTGCTTCAGGAACCAGGTGTGTTTGTTTGTCATGGTTTATTATTAATTATTTTGGTTTAAAATTTCCCATTGAAAACATAGCTAATAAATGCATGTTCCTAGGATAATAGGAGTAAGAAAATAATTTTACTGGTCAGTGATCAATATATGAAAGAGAATGTTTTCCAGGGAAAAATAAACAGGGTAGAAGGAAATGTCAGAAAATTCTTAGTGTGCAAGTCCATTGTGTACTCTAGTTAATGAGAAGAACACGGAAGCACCACATTCAAGATACTTTGCTTGTGAGTGTGGGAAGGAAACCTAAGCAGCACACTGCCTTTGTCATTTTATTGAACACCCATTTGAAATTAATTAATGAATTTTAATTGGTATTTAATTATTTAGTCATGGATGTTAACTAATTAATGAATGTAACATTTATTGCTCTGTTTTGCTTACAGTCTGAATCACCCAGTAATGGAAGGAGCAACCTAACATCTACTCCTGCTCTGCCAGCACTTCTAGAAAAGTGAGATTTGTCTAGGTCATCTCAGTACCTATTAAATGATAATACTAAATGAGAATTTAAAAAATCATATTTTTATGATATTACTGTGATATTACTACTAGTGGTTAGAATGCTTTAAACATGCAAATTAAAAGCTTTCAATGTATACATCACTACAGAATATCGAATTTCATGTATTTTAGATTAGTGCTGAGGCAGGACAAAATTTATCTTATGTCTTTGTTTTACCTTGTGCTTTACTAAGAATGTAAGTTTTCAACAACTGAGAAAACAAAAATGGGGAACTACAGCACTGGCTGCTGCTATTCAAAAAAACTCTGCAAGATCTAGACCATCTTTTGGAACTGCACAGAAATTCTGTGAGAAAATACAACAGCCGTAAAACCTTATCAATATATCACACCTAGGAGAAAAAACAAAAAATCATGTTACCAAGTAACAGAGGCAGAACTTGAAATTCAAGTTTGAGCCTAAGTGTGTGTGCATGGGCCAGCTGGTCTAGTAGTGTAGAATTACCCAGACTAGCACAGTTTTGTATGTTTAAGCACTTCAAGCTTATACTCACGGTTTGTTTAAAGACCAATTGAAAATAATGTTTATTGTTAACAGGCCTTGAGAGAAAATCCATTGCCCACACATGGTGTCAATCAGGTTCAACCTGATTGAAAATAAGACCTGCAAAAAGGGCGAGATTCCAAAAGTTGAAATGGGATCCATTGCTGAGCTTATTAAACCTTGACTTTGATAGATCTATGTCTCAATCACTTAAACTCTCTGTCCCAGATAAAATAAATGACAGGAGAGCACTGCAGGAAGAGAGAAATATAAAAGAGCTTATCTTCAGGCTAAATGCTCCAAACTTTTACTTGAGAAAAGTGAGGCGTGTGTATTTTTTTTAACCTGTGCATCAGTTCAGCATATAAAGTCAGCTCAGGAGAATACTTACAAGGCAAATAAAACCAATGTTTTGTTGAATTAGTATTTGATATTACTTCTGTTATGTTCCTCCTATGTAGCAGGTTACAATTTATGAGTTTTAGAAAGTTGAGGGAAATGTTTTCATGAATAGCAAATAAATGTCATGCATGAGCCAGGAAACAAAGACTATTTTCTTCTTTTTTAAAGAAGAATAAAAAATATACTTTTCTTACCTTAGAAACATAATAATTACTGTTCTTAAATCACAACATTCTGAAAATAATATTTTTCTTGATGTTCAATTTTTTCTTTTGAATGACATTTCATTTCTCCTACATACATAAAAAAGACAAATCATGACTCACAAAATTGCAGCATGCTCCAAATACAACACATTTCCCTGATGTTGTTTTCTATCTGTCTGTTTCTTTTGTCTTGGCAGTGGGAAGTCAAATGCAGAACCTGACTGTGAAACCTCAACTTCTGTGCTGACACAGAGTGGATTGGAAGAGATCAGTCCTGAAACTAAAGCCAAGATAGAAGAGGAAGCATATAACAAGGGGTGGGGATATTTTTTGTCAACTAAATCTGTAAATATGTGCTACCAGATGAGGACATGTGTTTTTAAAATTTGATTTTAAGTACAATAGTTATGTTCTTGGTGTCACAAAATGCTTTACACATCATATTTTGGGGCAATTAAAAACTTCGGGATCTGTTTCTGCATGTCAGTCAAAGAATTTTGCATTATGTGAAGAGTGAGACAAATTTTGATCCTCTCCTGCAGAATCCAGTGTGACATCTGACTTCAGCATTGAATTGCATTTATTCTCCAGGAAAAAAAGTAGTGTCTAGAGCATATTCAAAGTGATGGAAAGCTATAGAGAAATGTTTACTGCCTCCTTTACAATAGACAGAAATTGTTCTCTGTGAAGAAAAACTTTTTTTTTTTTGTTGAAAATTATACATTTGGTATCAGCTCTAATATAATCTTCAAGAAGGGTGGCTGTCTGTGTGCCTTACTCATAGTCTTCAGCTAATTTTTCTCTTGTTTAAGTGGTGTAACACTTCTACTTGTGTTTTATTACATATAACAAAACAAAAAGCTAATTTTTCATTACATGAGATCATGCTTATACAATGTCCTAGACTAAGAAATAAATGTCTTGTCTGATATAGATATCAGGAAGCCTTAAAGAAGACCAAAGAACTTCAGGAACTGAAGGAAGAAGATGAAGAGACACCCAAAGAAAGTCATGATGAACATGAAGAAAGTGAAAATGAAGATGAGATAAAAAATCTGAAAAGCAGGTGAGACAGTGCTGAAATATGTCCATACAAGAGGGGCCACAGTTTTCTACTAGTGGTACCCAAAAAAGTATTTTATACTATCATTTTGGCATGTTTTCTTCCTGGGAAAGCATATTGAAATAACAGTATTTTCACAGAAAGTAATATTCCAAGACAATGTAGTTGCAAACATAAAACTTTTGATATTTTGGTTAAAGCTGTATGTTGACATCAAGATGCTTCATCTTGATGGAGCTTGGTTCTGATTTGAGGTAAAGGAATGCTCCATAAAATTTCCTCAGGTGCCAAAATGTATCTCTCTGTGAATATGTACTGCCTTTTAAAGGTTGTAATTCAGGAGTCTGAATTGGTGCCGTGTTGCATTCCTGCCACTGGAGTGACACTCTATCCATCTACACCTAGTGCTCTCTGTCTGTACATTACAGAGGAATTGGATGCTGGCCAAAGCAAGTGATATGTCCAATCCCAGGTGAAGGCAGGGATCCTTACCTAATCCAGAAGAATTAATTTCCATTCCATAACCATTATAGCTATAAACATCTGTTGATTTCAGATTTCAGCCGCCTTCAGAGAGCAACCATCTCATTAGTCGTGACAGCCTTGGAAAGAAATGTTTATCACATATTCCAATGTCTAATTTAATTAATCAAGGTATGAACAGTGCAGAATTTTGCATGATCTCAAGCTCTGAGATTTGCCAGCTGACAGGTGGGAGAAATAGGAGTTAAGTTTATAGTCTCCAGATGTCTCACAAATATTACTCATATGGAATAGTTGGAGTTGGAATATCTGAGTGTACAGCTCTCGATAAAAGAACTTAACAGTTTGATTCTTCTTTGACAAGATGTTTGTATAGGCAAAACAAGCTGAAAAACTTAAGACAAAAAATTTGCATTTGATTAATATATAATAGTTTTCTTTTCATTTTACAGCAGACTTGAAGTCGTCGTTAATTATTTATATATCCTGTACCCCAAACTGTGCAAACACTGGAATGTGGTGTGGCTTGTGGTGGCTGCAATAGTAATTTTTGCTGTGGTGTTGGGAATCTACCATTCCTACAACTCCTGTGATGAAAAGTCAGAGGCACCTGAGGGGAAGGCCAGCTGCTCTGCAGCCCAGCAGTATTCCTGGTGGAACTCAGGATTCCGACAGGAGCAACGCACCACGGAATAACAAAGGAACAGCCACGTCCTTACGGCCCCGGAGCAAGTTTGTGTATTAGAGTACCATTGTTATAGGTAGTGTTTAGTCATCCTTGTGGCTGTTCCACTGATCCCTTAGCAAGGCAAGTTGCTCTGCACCACCAGGTTTGGGATACATGGTGAGCATTCCTTGCTAAGATGCCAATCTGATAAATAATCCTGTCCATCCTCTTATTGTAAAGGACTCGTACAAATAAAGTAGTATTGAATCGTGGTAGGGTTGTGGCAGTAATCAGCAACTTGCAAGACATTTGAAAGAATGAGTTGCACAGGACGTTGACATTTTGAAGACCATCATAAACCCCACATTTGCAGTTAATGCTTTACTTTGTGTTTCCTGAATTTATTGTTGATTGTTGAAGTACTAATTACATTTAAGTCCTTTGGGTTTTAAGAGGCTAATTCATTTCCTTATTCATGACTATTGGGTAGAAATAGAAACACTTCCATGGAAGAATATAATTATATTCTAAGACCAAATGCCTAGCTGCTAAAGTAATTTTATACAAGGAATGATCTATATGATTATTTAAATGGAATGCTAAGTATGTGCATAAATGTGTTTTATGATATGCTTTAAGAATGGGACCACCACTTTTTTTTTAATGGGATACTCAACAGAACCTGAAATGGGGTCTAGGTGGCACAGCTGACATCCTCCAATAGGTCTGGAAACTTCTGATATATAAAGGTTTCCAAAAATGTATGTGTGCCAGTCAGAGTCAGTACTGGTTACGGCCAAAAGTGGTAGCTGCCTGGAAAGGTCTGTGTGCCACCCAATCCCAAAACACCCAAGCAGTCTTGGACATGGGAAGCAATCTTCAATTCTTGATTGAAAAAGAAAACAAAAGCTCTTCCAACTTCAGTATGGAGGTGACCATACCAAGAGGACTCTGCCCTCCTGCTAACACTGGAATAGGCATTCTTTGAGATCTGCAGCAGGAACAGAGTTCTGAGAGCAGCCAGAACCCAGCCAGTGCCTACATGAATCAGGCCATGGTAGCAGTGAGGCCTTAGGAGAGCTCACTGATGTTTTCAGTAGTTCATTTTCTGATCTGATCTGATACACTACCAAAGCTGGAAGAATCTTTTGCCCAGATTTTTTGCCAGTTCTGCCTATCTGGGAGTTGTGAGTTCTTACACAAGAATGTGAAAGCCTGAAATTTTTGGATAAGCAATTTGGAAATGGTGAAGCCATTACCTGTACAAAACCCAGCACCTAGGGCTGAGACCAAAATGTGTGTCACTGGAGGTGTGCCATTTGTACCTGCTGAGCATCCCTTCTAAGTGAAGGTGAACCATTTTGTCTTTCCATAGCTACAGCCACAACAGCAAATCCAGGGTGACCCTCAATTGCACTCCTGTCCTGCATCCTCCTGTCATTTTCTGGTTGAGAAATGGGTCTGTTTTCCAACAGAAGGATAAGAGTGTTATGAAGTACTGTAATTTCAGTTCTGATACAGTCAATATTGTCCTGTCTTCTTTTGGTGGAAACACTGAATCTTAAGCTGTCAAAGAAAACAGGTTTCTAACTCAGAAATTTAGTTCACACACCTGGCACTAATAACAAATATCCTGCTGGTGAATTTTTGTTGGCCATGTGTTTCTTAGGGAGACATTAATATGGGGAAAGAAAAAAAAATTTAAAAAAAACAAACCACTACCAATTTTTTTTGGAGGCTGGTGAGGGGAGTCTAAAAGTAATTAGAAGGGTTTATTTTTATACTTTAAAGTATATATATTGAGGATTAGTGTGCTTAAGGAAGTTCAAAAAGGATAACGGGGAAGTGTGATTTGGTCTAAAATTGCAAATGCAAAGAATAAGGAGAAGGTTTCTTGCAAATGACTTGGATTCTGGTTCAGTTAGAATTTCTGACTGTGAAGAACTACTGTGACCTTTCAGGTAGTTTCAGTATTTGAAGAAACTCGCCAGTTGTTTCTTTAATACTTCTTTTCTAAAATCAGCTTCTTTAACTTAATATTCTTTACAAATAACATTGGTAACTTAAGGCAATAAAATTGAAAGTAAATACTGCTAAATATTCAGATTTTTCTATGCCAAAAATTATGGCATATATTTATGTGACTGTGGAAATGTTGGGCTGCACTGAAGAAAATTAACAGTGCCTGTAATTGAATTAATTTGTTTTTATTTACATCTGCACTGTTGTAAGTCCAACAACTTATTTTAGATACACATAAAAAGTTATTGATATCAACAAGACTCTAATTGCTTAGTGTTAAGCATGTGAAAAGCTCTTTTTGGTCAGTGGGTGGATGAGGTCTCCATCCTGTCTTAAAATTCAGCACACTGACTTCTTGTGGAATTAGTGAAAAGGGACAATTCCCATAAGTAGCTCCCATGAGTAGTACTGATTTGAGCTGAACTACTTGCATGTCTGAAGTAAGTATAATTTAGCCACAAATGAACTGAAAGAAGCAAAAGATTTTAGTGGGGGTGTAAAAATGAAGATAAAGTTTACTTTAAAAAAAATTGTTCTTTTTGTAACTACTTTGAGCAAACTGTCCACTAAAAATAACAAATCACAATGACTAACAGCACACTAAATAGCTATGCTTATATTTTTCAGTTATTCAATTAAAACACCTTTTGTTTAATAGGAAACTAGATTAAGCTCAAAAATGATTCTAAATACAATTTTGTCTGTTGGATATTAGTTTGCTTTATCTGGAAAAAAAAAGCCAAACAACCTCTTCTGTGTTCAAAGATCACATCAGATAACAAGAAACAGACCTATTATTTATGCTATTAACACTGAAATAGTTTTCTTGAGGTGCAATATTTATTTTTCTGCTTTAACAAGACACATTTATGGTTTCTCCTGCACAGCACAAATGTTTCTAGCAAAAGGAATTTCAAAAGGGCACTATTTTTGTGTATCATATTTAAATTTGTAATATTGTAAGATTTTGCACAAGTGTGCTGGTATTGTACTGTATAGTATCACATACTTGAGTTTTGAAATAAAATTATGGTTTCAAAGTCCTCAGTGTTTTTATCTTAAAGATTTGGGCTGCTTTGTCTGCATATTGATGGCCATGTCCTCATGAAGCAAGTCCTGCCTTGTGACACTGTTACACATTCCGAGCATCTTGCTCTTAGTCTTCCAGTTCTGCAGGAAAATGGTACAGAAGAGGAGAGCAAACTCCTGTGTCAATGGAGAAATGTTTGGAAGCAGGATCATCCCTGCCATGCCCTAGAAACCTGCTGAGAGAGGAAGCTGAAATATCCTGGAAAGAGTTTAACTCCTGCTTCAGAGGGAGGCCACGTGCCACGGAGGAGGCTGAACATGGGAGCCACAAGGGAAATCTGTAACCCAAGGATTCTGGGTGAAAGGTCAGTTTGCTTTGTGGATTTGGGAGGTCTGGGAAGCCTGAGTCTAGTGGGGAGCAGACTTGCCTGACCAGCAGGTAGGAGTCAGTCCTCAAGTTCTGAATCTCTGATGGTCTCTGCCAGGAGACAAACTCTGGGACATCAACCACCTGGAAAGCAATTACTGGTTCCATGGAAAGACCCTGATATTTGTATTTTCTACATGAACAATTTTTGGTTCCTCTACAGCTGTTCAGGTTTCAAGGTTCCTTTTGAAATTATTGTAGAGAACAATTACATGTGTTCTGCTGTATCAGTTTTCTGTTTAGCAATCCTCATCAGCATTTTAAAACATGCTGACATAAAAGGCAGGGAATTTTTCATATAGGTTGCAATAAGTATTTAGGTCAAAGACTAATTAATCATTCAGCATAGATCTGCTTTTTTTAGCCACACTGATTATGAAGAAGGCACACCAAAAGGTTAAAGACCTTTTGTACTGTTACTGGCCAGATAAGTGATCTTCCACGCAGTTTTGGAACAGCTGAACTACAAAAAGGAAGAAATAGACAAAAGCCAAAGTTATTTCAGTCTTGCTTCATCATTCTAAAATTATTTTCTCCCTCTCCTAATCTGTAAGACCTTGTGATGAAGGAGCTCATAGTTTTGCTTGGTGTTGCAAAGGTGTTTATCTCATTTTTACAGCTAAAAATCCTACTAAATATCAAGAGTCTGACTAAAGGAACTTTGCCACGGCACAAAATGTTAAGATCTGGCAGGACAAGTAGCATGCAATTTTAAAATGTCAGAAACCCAGCTATTTATTAGTTTTCATGGTAGAAAATACTTAGGAGTTCAAGGTAAGCATTTTCAATGGAAAGATTTTGTTTAATGTTCTCAGTTTTTTACAGCCACAGTCTATAGTCCATGAGAGCTACAGAATAACTGAGAATTAGTTCCTGCTTCTACCTTGTAAATGCCAGTGAATCCTCTTACAGCCTTCTTCAAGTGGGGCTAAGTCTGATTACAGTATCTGACTTTGCCATGGCTTTGTAGAGGGAGGTAAGTACAGCACAATAAGAGAGGGAACAGAAATTGGAGCTAGAACTTTGTCTAAAGATGTCATTGAGTTTTACCAAATTCACTTCCAAAGCACAGCCCGAAATCAATCCAATTTTCATTTCATCGTTGCTAATGGAGACAAGATCTCACTGACCCCAAGCGTTCTCTTCAGGCTCTGTCTGTGTTACAGAGCACGATCTAATAACCCTGTTACATGCTGCTGCAGGAGCTGTGCCTGTGCCCCATTAAAAGTTAATGCTGTCTCATATATTGGCTGGGGACTTTCTAAATGCAAACCACAATTTAAAGAGGTAGCTTTACACTGTTACACTTGTGTTTCTAGGACTCTGAAAACAGCCTGGAGACAGTGGATATCCAAAAGTTTGCTGAATCACAAGTTGAACATGATGTAAGAAAATCATACTGTTGCAATAATAAAAAGACTGACACCATTCTGAACTGTAAAGCAGGTAAATGAATTTATTAATTAATCTTGGCATTGGCAAGGCATCACATGGAGCAAGAGAGTGAGGCAGCAGGGGTTTCTTAGCTGAAAGAAAACAGGGAGAAGAGGCATAAGTCTTTAAAAACATAAAATAGTTGCAACACATAAGGGAGTAAACGATCTTCCACGTCCATTGCCAGCCGGAGAAGCAGTGATAGGTTTATACCAGGGAATAGCTAAGTCAGGTTAGTGTAGGGAACACCTTTGAACTGTAAAGAACAGTGAGGCACTGAACAAGAGGAAATATTAGAGGAAATGTTAGGAATCTGTCACTGGAAATCTTTGAGAACAGGTTAGACAAACATCTGTCAGGAATAACGTAGATACAGCAGATATGACTGAGACTAAAGGAATTAGCCCATCCCTTGAACTCCATTCCTACTCTGTATTTATTGGAACCTCTGGAAAAAAATCTGCTAAGACTACTTGAAGGTTTTCTAAATTATAGCTGTGAGGATCATCTGTGTTTTGAACCAATCCAAGGGAGTCACTGTTTGTTGGAATGTCAGAAAAGGCAGCAGTGATGGCACTGGCTGCCACCTCTGTACCTGTGGTCTCAAGAGGAATCTCATTTACAGTAGTGTATCTGCAAATCTCTTAAAAATAAGTTTCATATTACCTGTGAAGGAATTTGAACACAAAAGTGTTGTGAGAACTACTTTTGCATTGGAACTCTAAGGAAAAAAAAAAGTAAAACTACTCCATCAAGACAAATAGGACAGCGGGGAATGGATGCCCTTCCAGTTCCAATAAAAAAGAAAAATCTTGTGCGGCATAGTATGATACAATAGAAGATTTGTTTTATTTACCAGATGAATAGACAACATGAATAATGATCTGTTCATCAGTAAAACAGGAAAAAATAGCAGAAGAAAAACTTCTTTCGAAGTGTTTACTGACTTAGCAGTCTGACAGCCTTATCTCCCTTCCTCAGCCATGCTTTGTGAATCAGCAGCAGTGACATTTTCCAGCCATTCCCACATGAAAGCCAGTGGAAAGGGTGATGAGGGATTTCCGCTCCGTGACCTCGCCCTGCAGTGGGACAGTCACCACACTGCCTCTGCCATTCTTTCTATGAAGCATTGCAGTGACAGCTGAAGTTGCTTTCCAGAAGTCATCTCATCATCTGACAGCATCCAATACCTTAACGTTCCTTAGCACAGGAGACAAACTACCTTGAGTTTCCTACTTTTCTGAGTTTTCCAAGCTGGTGGCAATGGCAAATTTTCTTGGAGTTACCTCAGCAGTGTCTTTCATCTGGGTTATGACGTTCCTGGCTCAAAATTACTTTGTAACAGGTATGTAAAGTTCCACTTTTTAAAGCCTTGAAAAAAGTAGCTGGATTTACAAACAAAAATGTGGGGAAGGAAGGAGCATGTGTAAAAAATGTGTTTCTGGCAGAGGAAGCCACAGGGCTTTGAGAATACAGTGCAACAAAAACTAGCATGTAGAGAAACTTTCATTATTGGTCTAATTCAATTGCTGAAAATGCTGAAGCCTTTGAATCTAAATGTCACAGAACTGCTTATTTTAAAGATCTGGTATTGCATTTAGGATTAAGTTCAGATCTATTGAAATGTAACTTTATTTTGTATCATTTTAAATACCAGAGCAAAATATGACACCAGTTCTCTTTCAAATTCCATTATTAACTTGACAGAATCCATCCTTACTGCAGTAGCTGCTGGGATATCTGCAGAAGCACAATGAACACCAGAACCCTCCAGATGCTTCGCTGTTTTCCAAGGATTTAATGCTTGTTCTATTTCTGTTAAAGAACATATACAGTTATTGCAGACAATTGATTTTCTCACCTACTGAAAGACTTCTGGACTGAGTGAATTAGATGCTCAAGTCCTGTGGAAATTCCACAGGACTGGAGTACCCAACCACAGCAGTGTCCTCCAGCAAAACCAACACAGTACAATTTCCATTGGGGAAAAGGAGAGCTTGAGGAAGTGACCTTCCTTGGGACACATTCTCATGCACCCTCATGGCTCCAAGAGTTCCAGTTAAGCTCAGGGTTAAACCCCAGCTGTGTCTTGGAGCTTTTTTGTGGTAGTGATTTATTGTCTGGGCTTTTTCTGTCCTGTTTTGCTGTCTGGGCTTCACATATGGACTCTGGATTTAGGCTGCAGGTAACCTTGTCTCCAGGATAGGCTTCAGGCATGCGTAGAACCATCTTCTGCTGTTCCCAAATGGACTTCCTGGATGTCTGACTCATTGTCTTGCACTCTGGGTGGCAGTGAAACCTGCTGCCATCTCCCCTGTGGTGCTGTTAAGGTGCTGTGGGACTGTGCCTATCACCCTCTGCTCCTGGCCCCCTTCCTTGTGGAGCAGCCTCATGCTTGCTGCTCCCTGACACCAGCAGCCAAAGGGAACTCTAAAAAATCACAGTGACTCTAATAAATCAGGTTAGACACAAGGCAAAGAGAAAAACAACAGCTCTACCCCCCCGCCAAAAAAAAAAAAAAAATCAAACAACCAAAAAGGGAACTAATATATAACAAGGCCAACATCCACAGCTTACAAAAACTGAACTATTTTCTTCCTGTTCTATGGCAACTTTGTCTTGCTGTGAGATTCTTCTGTCTAGGTCTTCTCACTTATTTCTGTAAACCAGATTTTTAACCCAAGACCAAAATACTGAGTAGAATGTGCCAGTACTAGGTTACCTAAATAGAGCAGAGCTTAAAGTATAGCTATGTGTAGCTTGTGGACCACAAAGGATAATGTACTTCTAAAGGATTAGTCTGCTCCTGCACAAACTCAGTCATCTTTAGATCAGACTTCAGAAGTGATTTAATGAGCTATGAAGAGACTTGAAAAGGCTACTGTTCTCTTTTTGGATTTCTTCCTCACAGTGTAAAATTCATAACTTTTACAAAATGTATCATTAAATCACTGTTTTGAGTTAAAAGGGCTAGGAAATTCTAAGACACAATTTTGGTCCATATCCTAGAGTCACTTTTCTTATGATTTGCAACCTAAGTTTCTGGCACTGAATTTCTATATTATACTGTGTATCTAACCTGCAATACACATGTGAAAATATTTGTCCTGTAATTGAATGATTAATGAGAGTAGCAGTTCACAAGTACCTAGA